TACTTTAAAATATATCTAAAATCAGCATTTTGTTTCAGTTAGTGATGGAGGGGGGGGATATTCCTGTCCGTTTTTTGGTCTTTTGTGTCCTATTGTGGAGTGTTCTTTCACTTCCTTTCCTATGGAAATAATATGAAGTGATAAGAAATCTCCCGAAAATGAGGAAAATTCCCTCTTCAACAGTTAAAATCAAAACAAGTGTCCCCCAATATAAGATTTTCTAGCTATTTCCATTCTAAATGGCATCTCAAACGTTTGGATTCTCCATCACTTTCTGTCCCAGTAAAATTGGTCACCTTGACAAATATAGAGAATATATTGTATCCTAGCAGGGGCGTCCCTAGGCAGGGTGTCACTAGACTGTCGTCATCCCGCATGCGCGACCATCTGACCATCTTGTATTTTGGGTTAGCCTTATATATTTTTGTGCATTCGTTTTCTGATCTGGTTCCTCTCCTGGTCACCTAATTTAATTTCCTCCTATCTCTGCCTCTCCTCACTCGGCTCTCTCTCCTCGCTCTCTCTCTCTCCTCGGCTGTCTCTCCTCGCTCTCTCTCTCTCTCGCCTCGGCTGTCTGTCCTCGCTCACTCTCTCTCTCATTACTGTTGCTCCTCGGTCTCTCTCCTGGCCATCGCTCCTTGGTCTCTCTCCTGGCCATCGCTCCTTGGTCTCTCTCCTGGTCGTCGCTGCTTGGTCTCTCTCCTGGCTTTCGCTCCTCGGTCTCTCTTCTGGCTGTCGCTCCTCGGTCTCTCTCCTGGTTGTCGCTCCTCGGTCTCTCTCCTGGCCGGCGCTCCTCGGTCTCTCAGCTGTCTCTCCTCAGCTGTCTCTCCTCACTCTCTGTTCTCGGCTCTCTCTCCTCACTCTCCTTCCTCGGCTCTCTCTTCTCACTCTCTTTCCTCAGCTGTCTCTCCTCACTCTCTCCCCTGGCTGCCTCTCCATGCTGTCTCTCCCCACCCTCTCTCCCCTCACCCTCTCTCCTGGCTGTCTCTCCTTACCCTCTCTCCTGGCTGTCTCTCCTTATGCTCTTTCTTGGCTGTCTCTCCTCGCTTTCTCTTCTGGCTGTCTCTCCTAGCTCTCATCTGTATATTTTTCCTTACTCTTTTTTTCTTTGTTTCCGCAGGTGAACCCCTCACTTGAATTATCCTTCTGATTTGGTTCCTCTTTTGGTTAACTCATACCACTTCCTCCTGTCTTCTATCCTTTTTCCTGAATCCTCTGATCTCAATCCATAGGTGTCACTAGCACCATGCGAAAATGCCCCAAGTCTCCTCTATGTTCCCCCGGGGTAAGTAACACCCATACTGTAATGCCCTTCATGAGTCCCAACATAAATGTGGATTGTGACTCCTGCCGAGCATTGAAGTGTCCTTTGCCCTTCTCAGACCTCAGGCAAATGGGTAGCATAGAGCAGAGGGAACTCTTAGGCTCCTCCTGGCTCTGACATGTCAAATAACTCAGCCAGGGGAAACCCTGGGAAGACTCACTGTGTGCTGATGCTGCTCACCATAATTTCAGGCAAGCGCTTAGCTGTGTGAAGTTGGCACCCAATGTTTGTAAAACCTGAATACAAATATACCATTTGTTTGTGCTGATTTGTGGCACAATTAATGTTTGTATCGGTTCGGTTTTTGAGATATTGGACATTGAATTAAATTCAAGCCCCACCCACTTTGCAACCCATTTCATTGAATTTTAAAAAGAAATATACAATTTGTTTGTGCTGCATTTGTGCCGATTTGTACAGCAAAAATGAACATTTGTGCCACTTTGGTGTTGGACATTTTGTGCATTTTAATTGCTGAAACCTCGCCCACTTTGCACCCCATGTTATTAAATTTGAAAAACAAACCATTCATTTGTGCTGCGTTTGTGCTGATCTGTGCTGCAAAAATGAACGTTTGTGCCGCTTTGGTTTTAGAGATATTCTGCATTATAGTTGCTTAAATCCCGCCCACTTTGCACTCCATGTTATTGAATTTTAAAAACAAACATACCATTTGTTTGTGCTGCATTTGTGCTTATTTGTGCCGCAAATAATGAATGTTTTAGCCACTTTGGTTTAGGAGATACTGCACATTATATGTTATCAAACCACACTGATTTTGCACCACGTTATTAAATCTTACATACAACTAGATACATTTGTTCCCTGTTTGTGCTAATTTGGTTGATATTGTACATGATGTTTTAGTTAATATGTATACTTTTGCCTGCTGAGATATTACAAATCTGTTTGGCCAGGTGTTTTCGGTCAGCGCTCGTGCACTTGCACTTAACTGTGAATTAAAATACACTATTGTGCTGGATAGAGACACTTTGTGGGTGTTTTAGGGGAAATATAGTAAACCAATAAGGATGCACTGGTACAATTTTTTCAAGACTGAGTACAAGTACCGATACTTTTCCTCAAGTACTAGCTAATACCAATTACCAAAAGTTTGTCCAGTTAGTACCAGTTACCGATCAATTATGAGGACAGTGGAAGAGTGCCAGGGCCCATTCTCAGGTGCAAATGCTGCACCCCTGGTAGTTCTGCAACTGATGCCAGGCTGTACAGGGGCTACAAATCTCAGCAATACATTATATAGCAATGCAGCATACTATCAGCAATAGAGGACTACAGATCCTAGCACTACATTATACAGCACTGAAGAATACCACCAGCGATAGAGGACTACCAATCACAGTAATCCATTAAACAGCAATGCAGATTACCACCACTGATAGAAGACTACAAATCTCAGCAATACATTATACAGCAATTCAGAATAATATGAAGCTACATACTCTGTGTTGCTCACCAGGGCTATGCAGCATTTCAGGAGGCGGTGTGGGGTCTGACTTAGTGATGGGCTCAATGTTCCAGCAGAACGTGAGTTCGACTCGAACATCGGCAGTTCATGTGTTCGGCGTTCCGCACAAGGCACTGTGCCTTGTGAGCCCTGATTAGCTAAAGCCTTGCAGCTGACCACAGGTCAGGTGTAAGACTTTGCCCAATCAGGACAAAGAAGACTGTGAGAGCCATGATTGGGCAAAGTCATGATGACTCTGCCTAATCATGGCTCACCTGTTACAACTGTAAACAGTTATATATATACTGTAAACTAATATAGAGGGGTATAACCTATTCTGGAGGGACAGATGTGGGAGAAGGGGGGGGGGGTTTGCATTTACGTTAAAAACTATCTAAATATGCATATAAGGGACGATATCACGTCAAACAGTGGAGAAGATGTGGAGACCTTATGGCTAGAGCTCGATATGTCGGACCCTAGCAGTAAACTTATTGTGGGTATTTGCTACAAGCCTCCGAATATAGGGGAGAAGGGGAAAGCAAATCTACACTCCCAAATAGAAATAGCTGGGAGGGAGGGCAATGTAGTCGTGATGGGCGACTTCAATTACCCGGACATCAATTGGGCTAATGGTACCTCAGGATCGACAAAGGCGGGCCGATTTCTGAACTTGTTGCGAGACAATTTCTTGGAACAGATGGTGGAGGTTCCAACTAGGAAAAATGCCATCCTAGATTTAATAATTACTAATAATGGGGAATTAATCGAGGATATTGTAATTGGGGAGTTGGGCGGAGCTAGCTGTCACTGCTAGCTCTGCCCAAATGCAAACAGTAAGAGATTCCTTGATCAACGCTCTTAAGCACCGATTGAGCAATCTGTTATATTTTCTTTGTTCAGCCTGTGAGTGGAATGAAACATTTTTTACAATGTATGGGGAGCCTTAGAGGCTGATGCAACAATATAAGAATTAAGAAACTCCATACGTCCACTGGTCCTGAAAACATTCATGATATATAGATATGCAATCTAACCCTCTACAAACAAAATTGAGACTGATCGTGCCCACAGGGCTCTTCAACCTAGAAACTCTTCTTCAAACCCATGAGATGTAATCTGTAGAAAAAGAAAAAGAAATAAGAAAACTTTGCAGCATGCAACCCCTTGAACTGGATGGGGTTCCCATTCAAATCTACCCAGATTTATACTCTCCAGCAATGTAGTCGTGATGGACGACTTTAATTACCCGGACATCAATTGGGCTAATGGTACCTCAGATTTGACAAAGGCGGGCCGATTTCTGAACTTGTTGCGAGACAATTTCTTGGAACAGATGGTGGCAGTTCCAACTAGGAAAAATGCCATCCTAGATTTAATAATTACTAATTTCTAACTACTAATCACCTGTGTCCAGTGGCATAACTAGAACCTTCAGGGCCCTGGTGCAAGAAACCATGAAGGGCTCCCCAACCCCCCACCGCCATGGCACCGTGTGGTTAACAGGAAGGCTGCTGAGGTCCCCAGCAAGTGCGGGACCTCAGACAGCCGCTTCAGTTTAAAAATTTAGTGCCGGTGTTCTGTTGAGAATGCCGACCCAGTATCTGCGCTTGCGCACAGATGGGATTAATGAGAAAATGGGCATTTATTTACAAAAGTATTAGTTTGTAATGGGTAATTTTGACTGTGAATAATATGCTATCCATGGCGGCAAATGATGGAGGCCATATTCACAGTCACAATTAACAATTTAAACTAAATACTTTGTCAATAAATGCCTGTTTCCTCAATAACACTGGTCCGTGCACAAGCACAGATACTGAGGTTGGCAAATACGACTGCGTTGGGGTTCTCGATGGAACACCGGTATCTGCGTTTAGTATCGGGGCATTTTCATGAGTACTCGTACTCGTGAAAATGCCCAGTATTGGCGCTGGTGCATCCCTACTTAAAAATATAATGCATTGCTGGGACTTGTAGTCCTGCATAGTTGGTGCTATTCTGCATTGCTGTATAATCATTATATACCAGCTATGCAGGACTACAAGTCCAAGCAATACATCACGGGGAGTGAGCTCGGAGTGGAGCGTACACAGCTGGCGGAGCGCAGTGAGCTGGAGGCCAGTAGAGGAGCGGGAGCTCGTACAGGGGACACACGGATCAGTTTTTTTATTAAATAGAAACATGGTACTAAAAGGAAACTGCTTTACTCCTGAAGGGGAATTTTGACTGATCACCACAGATTTTAATAAAGCGAAACATTGATCGGAACCTTGAAGAATGGCAGCTGGTCCACCTCAAAGTGGAGGAGCTGCAGGGCCATTAGGACCTCCTGCGATGGCTAGCCAGTGGAACCCTGCATCCTATGCTGTAGCTGTTTGGGAATGGCAAGATGAACTTGGCAAGTGGAGGCCGTACAGCAGTAAAGTGAGCACTTATATAGAGCAATGTATGCAATCTTATCAGCAGCAGAAGAATACTCGGGCTCTTGCAAACAGTAGGAGTATCTCCCTTGGACAAGTTGACCCTAAATTAGCTCCGTACGTAATAGACATTGCAACGCTGGCACAGTTTCGACAAGACACAGGAACCATGCGATATGTCAGAAAAACCCTCTACCCATTAGACTCCGCTCCAGCTAAAGGCATTTGTTGGGAGTGGATGAATGATGATGGCTGTTGGACAGCTTACGAAACGCATATCTGCATATACCTGGAGGAGAAGTTGACTAATGGAAACCGCTCTGTAGATCTTGGAGCACTTGGACTCCACTACCTTATTGACTTTAACTCATTCGTTCAGATAAATCAGGCCACTGGATTTAAACGACGTGTTCAAAGGAACCTTGGTGCACCTTATCCTACAACGCCAAAGGCAGGACCTGCACATAAGTCGACAGCATGTGCTTGTCACCAGTGTCTGGCAAGCAGTCATGCGGGGCCTATGCATCGGTATCGACACTCCATGATCAATCTGCCTACATCCGCAAATTACCAGAGCAGTAGCCGAATATCTACCAATAATGTTGGTTATTTACCATATCCTAAACCTACCATGACTAGTGCGAAGTCGGCACCAAAGCTTAATAGCACGTGGGTACCCTCCTCAACGCCTTTGCAACTTGCTGGTCCATCATCTGCTAATGGAATCAGTATTCCATCGGTTCCAGTGCAGATTCAGAAGTCCAGTTCTATGAATCAGGCCTTTGCAGGAGTTACTGACCCAGAACAAGTTGTGAAGAAATACCTGGAAACCGTTGATAAGCCTCCAGAAGAGGACTGTATCATAGGTCCAGACTTACCTGGCCTGACTCCTGCAGCACCTTCTTCTGTGTCTCGGCAGCCAGGGGGCCGGTCTAAGTGGAGAAGGTCCTCTCCCACACAGCATAATGTGCTGCCTGGTGGTGCCTGCTGGACAAGTGACAGCTTCTCCAGCCCCGCACAGCCACCCGTACATGCTGCGGGTGGCAGAGTGGTGGGGAAGGAAGAGCACTGCAAGAGCACTGCAATTGCGACTGTTGTGACCCTGGTAGTTCGCCAGTGCCTGTGTCCCTCACTTTAAAGTAGTACAGTTATGTGCCTTACTACTTCACTATGACAACACCATCTGCTCTGTCCTATTTAAGTTATTAGGCTGACTCCTCTGTCTACCTTTAAGATACTAGGTTTCACACCACCCTAAGTGATCTGGTACCAGCAATCCTGTCATATACTAACTGATAGATAAAGTAAAGTCTTTGGGGCCGCGCCTTAGACCATTAAGATTTTACTTCATTCTCCATCTAAGTTACCTACATATGATTTACCTATCCATATTACTTATTTGAGCAATGCTGCAATGTTGGTTGATTTCACACAATTATTTACAGTGAGGTACCTAGGTGGAGAAGGACTTGTGAGTTATTTTCTTTTGTATTTATTACCCACTATATTTCCTATTTGGAATGGAGTGGTCAATTTTACTTCTATCCAAAAGAGGATGAGTTTCTTTTTAAATGTTTGAAAGTGACTTTTATCCCCCTGACACCTTAAGATGCTTTCATTGTTTCACTCTTTCCTCCAGGTTATATATTTAGCCAAAATGGTTGCTGTTTTAGTTGTCCATTAGGTGGGTCTACATCGTGGATCTCTACCTCCCCTCCCCCCCCTTCACACACATTTCTTTATTCTTCAAAATCATTTGACCATCTAAGTTTTCCTCATGAAACTGCTCCGAGGTGGGCATGGCTAGCCAGTGAGCGAGCCGCATGGATGTTCGAGTGCAGAGCTCTGTGCTCAACGCCGCTCGGTATCCTTCCACATCAACATTGACTATAGGTCACGTCATCTTACTCCGACTGACCTCTCTACTCTACTGCCTCTGTTTGCAGTATGACCCGTAAAAGACAGCTCTTGTCCTCACAAACTGACCGACTTCTTTCAAGCAGCCAAATACTAGGTCTCACAAGACAGCAGAGGTGATCTCGCTCTGTCATCTTCTCCATCTACCAGGTCCATCGATGCCGACGAGGACCGCCAATGCATACCTGCTGCTGATCCATCTCATCAATCAATCCGGGTCACTTCTCTAGCATCTCTGGTGCAAGCCACTCCCACCACGCAGAGTCCTGCAAAATCTAGGCCGTGGCTGCTGGGCCTTGCTGACATTGACCCGGAGATAAGCCCAATACATACGTCACTAGAGAACACCAGGGAACTGATGGATCCTATTGAATCCTATCCTACTCAAAATGAACCGATTTCTGACAAAAAAACTGAAAGATATGTTGATTTCCCTCCGCAGTTCCCTACATACAGATATGTAATCTCTGGTCAGCCAATTTAAAGCAAATATTCAGGACATTGGAGATAGGATTTCACACATAGAGAATAAAATGGGCAAATTTAGAGGATACATTTAATTGGAATAATGTGAAGATTTGTGGCATCCCTGAATCAGTTTGCCCCAATGAGCTTTGCCAATATACCCAAGATTTCATCAAGGCTATTCTTCCAGATATTTTGCAATCTGAACTTATTATAGCCCGTATCCACCACATCCCCAAGCCTTCACACCTACCTGATAAATTGCTGAGGGAAACTCTTATGTGCATGCATTACTGAAAGCCACTAGAGCCTCTGACAACTTACCTCCTGAATACGCCAACCTACAGAGCTACGCTGATCTCTTTCAGCATTCTTTGGCTCTCTACAGAAAGCTCTTGCCTATTACAAAGGCCCAGAGGAACCACAAACTAGTTTATAGTTACAATTACAATTATTTATAAAGCATCAACATATTCAGCAGTGCCGTAAAATCGTTTAGACAAGACAAGTAAGAAACACTGACAAGCATCATTGACATACAGAAACAGTAGGTGAGGAGGACCCTGCCAAAACGATCTTACAGTCTAAGAGGAAGGGGAACAAAGACACAGAAGTGGAGAAGGGGAGACTACAGATGTATACCAAATAAAATGAGAGGGGATTTGGGAGTACTGTGAAAGCGGAAGGGAAGGTTGTATATGGTGAGAAATCAAGCGGAGAGCTGATACGCTTCTCTAAAGAAGTGCGTTTTGAGGGATATTTTAAAGCCCTGTAGGGATGTGGAAAGCCTGATGTGGCGTGGGAGAGAATTCCACAAGGTGGAGGCAGCCCTAGAGATCCTGTAGATGAGAGTTGGGCATGCGGGTGAGTGAGCAGGATAGTTTCAGGTCATTAGTGGAACGAAGGGGCTGATTTGGAGTATATCATTTAATTTGGGATGAAATGTAAGTCAGTTTAAGGTTATGCAGAGCTTTGCAGGTGAGGCTGAGAAGTTGGAAGTGTATCTAAAAGAAACAGGAAGCCAGTGCAGAGATTGACAGAGGGGCGACGTGTGAGAGTAGCAGGAGGCAGGGTAGAGGAGTCTAGCTGAAGCGTTCATGATGGATTGAAGGGGTGCAATTTGGGCATGTTTCAGGCCGATGAGCATAAGCTTGCAGTAGTCAAATTGGTCAAAATCGACAAGCATTTTGGTGGTTTCCTCAGTGAGTAAAGGTGAAATTTGAGAGATGTTTTTCAGATGAAAATGGCACGATTTAGTGATAGAGTGAGTGTGAGGGAAAAAGGAGAAGTCAGAGTCAAAAAGCACGCCAAGGTAGCGTGCCTGCGGAGTAGAGGAAATGGTAGCTCCAGCAACCTGAAGAGAGATGGACATGGGGGTAAACTTAGAGAAAGAAAACACGAGGAGTTTGGTCTTAGAGAGGTTCAGTTTGAGGAAGCGGGTAGTCATCCATTTTGAAACAGCGGATAGGCAATCAATTACATAAGCCAACAGATTGGGGGAAACATCTGGCGAGGAGAGGTAGGTCTCAGTATTATAAGCAGAGAGGTGGTAATGAAAGGAAAAAATGAAAATGATAAAGGAAAAGCTGAAGGAGCGTCAGATAGATAGATAGATAGATAGATAGGAAGATAGTGTCAAAAGCAGCAGAAAGGTCAAGAAGAATAAGAAGTGAATAATGTTCTTTAGATTTGGCGGCAACTAGGTCGTTAGCAGTCTCTGTGGAGTTTTGGCAGTGAAAACCAGATTGTAGAGGGTCAAGTAGGGAGTTAGAGTTCAGGTTGTGTCAGGAACGTACACCGCTCTAACTCCTACGGCCGCGGCGGGGCCGGCCTCCTCAGCGGCGTCCGGTAGCCAGGCGGGCCGACCTCCGCTCACAGCTCCTCCCCCCTCACGCCAGGTTCAGAGGCATGGTGATGCAACGGCGCCGGCCCAGCGGTGTCCCGTTGCTAGGAGAAGCTCGTGTCGGGCCTAGCTTGCAGCTCCGCCCCTACACACCGCTCTTTGCCTACAAAGACGTAGGCTGTTCACTTGCTCGGCGTTCTAGCGAGGTAGCACGTTGAGCAAGCAACCTAGGCTGTACCTACCTCTCGGTTCCTGAACCTTGTAGTCTTCCAGCGGAGGATTGGAATAGAGACAGCAATACTCACGGGACTGCTATCCTCGGACCACCTCCGGCTCTTTCAGAGATCACTGAACCGCAAGTACCTCCATCAGATGCCATATGTGTTTGGACACCATTGTATGTCACTGTTTATTGAACCAGTACCGTGGTGAGGACTATTCACCAGTCTGCACAGTTACATTGACTGAGTACGGTTACGTTGAACAATTCTGAGTGTATCCAATTTCAGAAAGTATTACAACGTCATTGCAGTTATATTAATCAATAACCTGACTGTGTTTTGTCCAAACTGCCATAGTGCAATATACTACTGTGCTTGTGAACCTTCGCTGGCAATCCACTTTATATGTACCTACAGTTCACGCACTAGTGAGAGTAACTAGTACCAACCGAACTACAGCCAACAACAGACCCCATAGAACTCCAATTGAGGCCAGAAGGAGTGACATACCTTTCTTTTCAATTTTTGCCTAACTGTGGTGGTTAGGGGTTCCGATTTCACTCAATGCCATACAGAGTGTGACCGTGAAACCTCCACCTGAACCATCGTCACTCTAACTCTGCAGTTGCGATCCATCAATCCCCATGTGCTTGCACAAATTCGTTACAGGTTGTCTGTGAGTCGAGTATACACCGTCTTTCAAGGAGTTTGGAGGCACAGGAAAGAAGGGAGATGGGGCAATAGCTAGATAAAGCTGCAGGGTCAAGAGTATGGGTTTTTTAGTATGGGTGTGATGAGGGCATGTTTGAAAGAAGAGGGAAAAATGAAAGAGGTAAGAGAAAGATTGAAAATTTTGGTGAAAGAAGTGACAATCACAGAAGAGAGAGGATGGATAAGGTGTGATGGAATGGGGGTCAAGGGGCCAGGTTGAAGGGCAGAAACCTCTACTTCGGTAACTTGGGAGAAGGCACTGAGTGAAGAGGAAGAGGCTGGACATAGGGTATGTTGGGTAAGGGAGGGATTAAGGGAGGCGAATGCATGTTGGATATTGAAATAGCTTCTCATACTCCCTCCCTTACTTCCTTGGGGCTTTTCAGCTAAGCTTCTTGTCACAAAAGATAAGATGCTACATTCCATCACCTCATTAGAACAAGGTCTGGATCTGCTGCAGCAAAGGAACATTCTTCCGCCCTCAGACCAAGCTGCTCGTAACGCAGCAAAGATTGCCTCTGAATGACGTACAGTCGCCCATAAACGAAGATCTAAATCTTATTCCTGAAAAGCTATTTCAGTTAAACATCCAAAGATGTACTTCATCTGATCCCATGCTTTAGAGAGCCCCCTTAGTTCCAACACCCCTTTTCAGATGGACAGTTTTGTTAACGGCTCATTTGTCCTTACCCTGGTTACATTTGGTGTAATGCTCTACAATGTTATCTTTCAGGTTTCATCCATCTTCTTTCCTCTAAACTGTTTGAGGTGTCATCTTCATTCAACTCCACCCACTACTTCTATCTGCATACTTTTTCACCTCATTCTCTCATTGGACCACGCAACCTTCCGGGTGGATCTTCAATTACCATAGCTCTTCATAAGGTGATTCAGAGTGAGTTTAATAATGTGTAAGGTACCTGTGGAAGGTAGAGTCCAAAGTGGAGCAAGGCTGAGGTTTAGGATAGGTGGTGTCAGGCA